GAATGCCAAATCGTCTGTTAGGCAGAGTAAAATGGTCATGCACGATTAAGTATTAACGTAGACAGATTAATAGTAATACTATCAAAAACCTAGCAAAATAAGCGAAGACCGATGTCTCAGTCGCCAATGACCCGGTCTTTCGCGACTTTTACTAAATCTTGGCCTGAGTCACGGCCTATACTTTTCGGCTTCTATAAATTTCCCAAAAGGTCGAGTAACGTAAAATATTTAGGTCAGCACTTTAACGTAGACCCCCGTTTCGCTAGAGCGAAAGATTCTTGATTCATCAAGAAAACCCGAAACGTTTTAGTACCGCGACCGCATTCATTTTTGTCGTTCACACACGCAGCGCCAATCCGATAGGAATTCATCTCCGTTTTGAGTCGTACCGAAATATTCAGTGAATCCGACTTCCATATGGTGGTTATAAGTAGTTTCTGCGCTTCTTTGCGCGTTTTTGAATGTTTGTTAAATTTATTAACAGAGAATATACATTTTATACCAGGGCTTGAAATATGAAATAACAGCCGATCAATCATCAATGATCGGCAAGAAATTGCTTATGATCGGCGGAAAAGCAGGGTTTCCAACTTGAAAAAGTAGGGAAAGTCATGACTGCCGACCACCATGATCGGGAACTTTGGGAACGTTATTTCAAGCCCTGTTATACCACTAAATTTATGGAAACTTGTTTGTTTTTCATTCAATTTACCGTCTCCTCCGAAAAGGTCTCTTCGTTTATGTAAACGGTTTAAAGTTTCCGAATTCGCGAATTAGGAATCTTTCGTTCTAATTTATAAGTAAACGAGGTAAATTATAGTCTTACGTTTAATAAACATTTTGCTGGACCCCGTACGATCTTATTTCGCAGTGCGAAAGATTTTATCAGTAAATCGGCCGATATTCATAAAGAGTTCAAAAGGTCAATACAAATTCGATATAAAATATGCTTTTGATATTTTGTCTTGCCGTTGCCTGACCGCTTGGCGTAAACAATTGGCGGAAGTCGGCGGTCGGTCGGTCGGAAGTCGGCTTACAACCGCTCAGCCAATCACGACCTGATCACGACACAGATTTCATGCTTGCGTGAGCAACAACATAGCTACGAATTCGACAAAATGGCGGCCAACTACGATCAATGTCGGTTCGCAGAGTCTTTGGCGAAATACGTAGCCGTTTGGAACGACAAATCGGCAGATCATGCAGATAAAACAAAACGAAAAGCACAAATGAAAGCCTTAGGTGATGAATTTGGTATGACCCGTAAGTATTGGAGTATAATTTGTTCATTTATATGTGGTAGATTTGTATTGTATAATTTATTATAAAGCCCATTTCGACATGGCTGGCGTGACCTTTAAGAGCAAATTGACGTGTTTTGTGTGCAAATCAGTCGAAATGTAGAATACTACCTACACTGGTATTCACGTTTGAGAAATATTTTTCAGATAGTTACTGTGTTAAAGACACAAACCACGGCAACTTATTGTAGAATATTACCAACACTTGACCTCCACGTTTGAAATGATTTATTCGGCCGATAACACGACATGGCCGAAACGAGATCGTCATGGTCCGATTGATTTCGTCTCGGCATCCTGTAGCAACCAGCCGATGCTTTATTTCTGCCGGTATGTATTTAGAATTACCGTCAAAAATGGCCAACATTTTGCCCAATTTAAGCCTGGTCCAACTTTGTCGTGATGATCGCGATCAAGCTGGGGGCGACGTAGTAGATTGAGTGTCGATATATCTCCGCAATCAGTGATACAGCTGTGATACAACTACGTGAAAAAATATAAACTTGGACGAGGGCCGAAGACGCTCGAAACGCCGAAGTACTATTTTTCAGGTAGTTGAATTTCTCGCACATCGCAGTTGTTTTGTTGTCGTCGCTATATACTTACGGTGACACCTTCGACAGCGCGGCGCGATTCCTCAGTCCTTGCAAGTTAATAAAACGGCCAATAAAAGGAACTTGTAAAAGATATGTAGACCAAATAACTCAAAATGTATTGTTGTAGCGCTTCTAAATATTTGAAAAACTTAAGAAACTAGATCAAAGTTGTCGGTCAGTGAAAATCGAAAAATCGCGCCGCGTTGTCGAATCACGTCCGGTGTGTCTGGCACTTGGCCTTAAAATTAACGTTGAACAAAATGATTGCGGAAGAAAACTTGTCGTCCAATATTTATCGTATGAAAAATAATACAGTTTAAAGATCGAGGTTAACACAGGGTCTATGATTGAGAAAAGTTCTAGGACCCAATTCAAAGTAGCATTTGTCTCAGCTTGAAACGTAAGCGTTGTGTTGTACAAGACGTGATAATTTGCCGTTGTAAACAGCGACGGCGACATCTGAAACTTCTGTGAAATATTAATTGTTCATTTCTGCTCATTTTCTTGTATTAATATAATATCAATAGCTGTCCTCGTTACACTTTCGTCCGGCCTGTTGACGTTCTTATAACAAAATATAGTTCTTTATATTTTTTAAAAGTGCAAAATTCAACCCTGTTTCTTGTCAAGTCCCCGCTTACGGTGTAAAACGGCAACCCAACGACAACGGCCAGAATAAAATCATTCAAATAAACGATTTTAAAGAAAATTTGTAGATTATTATTGATCGTATCAATTCAAAACTGTTAGTTAGCTTGACATAGTGGGTTTAATGTTGAGAAAGTTCTCACTGGAGTCCTGAGCTAATTTGCCGAGTATCACTTCTCGCGTCTTGAAATGCAGGCGTTGTATCCAAGACGTAAAATTATGTTGTTTCCCGTTGTAAACAGACCATGCATGCATGACGTCTCAAACTCCTGTAGGATATTAGTTATTCATATCTTTTCTTAAATGTATTATGAATCTCATTGTATGAATAGCCGTCATCGTCACGTCGCGGTCTCACATGGTAAGGTCTCTAATATTGGCAACACAGGCCATGTCCATGATTCTGAACAAAGTATCGTCTAGACAAGCTACGCACGTTTCCCTGTGCAGACTGATAACGCCGACAGTTTGTCTTCACGAATTTTAATATATCAAACTAGTTTTCCTTTGCCCAAATTCGTTGTAACCGTTCATACGTCTAATTACAATGTCAATGTACAATTGATAGACTTTTTAAGCTGCAAACGCGAGCAGTAAGGATTATTACTGGCTCAACCGACGGTCAACTAAAATTTTCACTAACTTTAAATGGTTGCTCATCGCTAAAATTCATCGTGATCTTATCATGATGTTCAAAATAATGAAAGGTTTGGCACCAAATTATTTGACCCACATGTTTAACACTTGCGATAATCGATAATCCACGTTATAACTTGCGTAGCGTAGCAACCATATAAATCTTTCGTTAGATAAGCCCAAAACCAAGTTCCGCAATTTAGAGAAGTTTTTCTTACAAAGGAGCTGTGAGCTGGAATAGTCTAGATGATCATATTGGAAGTAACATTAACTCTATATCTTTTAATTCCTTCAAAAAACATCTAGATATATAATCTCCACTTCTTAACTTTGTAAAATTTTCTAGTATTTATGTCAATTTTTTGATGTAGTATCCCAAAGGTCACTCAGGTTCGTTTCCCATCGTGGTCAGGAAAACTTTTCAGCCTGCTCGTTGTTGGATGCACGTATATATGCACGTATATATGAATATACACTCCCCCTAATTATCTAGCTACGGCCCTAGCACGGCCCTTTGAAAAGCAGATCATCCGAAAGGCCACCGTGTGTTGTAAATAAATGTAAATAATAATCCGATATCATTAAAAACGTATCATCCGATTAAAAACACGCACATCTTTTCTTTTAGCCGAGGTAGCGGACCGAAAATACAACAGCTTGCGAACGTACTTCGTGAAACAACGCCGAAGAGTAAAAGAATCTGAGAAACGCGTCCGTGACACTGGAAGCATTTATCGCCCGTTATGGCCGCCATATTGGAAACTTTTGTTTTTGGAAGAAGCGTTAGCCCTAACGAATTCCGACGACCCGTCGGAGAAGAGAGATAGTGAAGATCTAAGCTTGGCAACAATGGTCCAAAATCCGCGAAGAAATTCAGATGTGTCGTTCGATAGGACAAACTCCGAGACTGATCTCAGCTTAGTAACCATGGTCAACAATCCACGACATTCGGAGTCGTGTACGGCTGAAGACGCGTTGTTGTCTGTTCTTCCCGAGACCCACACAGACACGATTTCGGGCGGGCTTAGTTCCAGCCCGTTTTCAGGCAACACGCATTCACATAAACCCAAAGCGTCAGGGAGACTAAGTTCCAGCCTGCACGTGGGCAATGCTCATTCACCAATCAGAATCGACGATGACATCCAGGAGGGGGTTGAGGTTGAAAAGTTTCAAGAGGAGTCGGATGAACCCACTGACCGAACCCCCCTGGAATCGGATAGATCTCACTTCCTTAGGCCCCATTCCCCCACCTATCCTATTTTCCCACCTACCGATTTATCCGCTCCTCACTCAGTGACAACGTTTCCCCTAAATATCCCGAATTCACTAGCATTAGCCCTACCTAGTGGCGATATTTCACCCCCGGGCAAACGTCGTAAACGTGGTTTTCCGAATTCCAACGACAATGACGCAGGAATCGCATTTCACGATACTATCGACAGTTTACGAACCGTTGCCGAAAGAATACGGGAAGACACGAGTGATGACGTCGGCGGGTTCTTGAAAATGATTGGTTTTCAATTACGAAGTATAGATGACCCTCTTCGACGCATGCGCGTTATGCATGCTATACAAGGAGTGATTTTGGATGAAATTGCGTCAACGGTTAGATAACGGTTACCGAACGAGCGGCTCGTGTAGGGATACAACACTAACATGGTCATCATTGTTTAAAAGAGTTTCTTAAATCTCGTTGCTTTGTTCTACTCGATAAAAATTAAAGCCAATTGAGAATCTCAACTGCGCATCATGATATGTATAGCTGAGATTGGTAGCATTGTAGTCAAACCGGATGTTCTCTTGCGAGCAACATTGCAATATTGTCCCACAATATTGCAGTTTTGATGGGATGATTGCTCTGAGCAATTTGCAAGCGACGCAAACAAATTGCAAGTTGAAATTCACAAAGATTTGTAAAAAAGCCTCTGATTGGACTATAAGAAAAAGAGAAGCTCCAATCCAGTTGCTCAGATTATTTGATTGGCTTCCTTTCTGATAATAGTCCAATCAGAGGCTTGTGAATTTCAACTTGCAATTTGTTTGCGTCGCTTGCAAATTGCTCAGATCTGCCTATGAAAATTGCAATACTGTAGGACAATATTGCAATGCTCTTCGCAAATAAATTATTCACAATAGATTATTTTTTTGTAGATTGACTAGGTTGGTATTGATAAAAAAACAAGAAAAACCATAAGGGCTTATCAAGCTAGCCAACCAAATACTCAGACACATATCAAAGTGTTCAACTGTTCAGTCATTATTTCACATGCGTTGAAAAGTGACTTGAAATCGACAATAAATTAGACGGTCATAGGCAATTCCAGCTTTTAATTTATGCGCGCAGGGGGTGACGGGAAGTAAGGTATCATATTGCTGATTATGCTGAAAAATTTCAATAAAAAAGCCGAAACAACCGCGAAATATTTCAATATTTACAAGAATAAGCTTGTGTTCATATGGACATGTTATTTATCTGAATGACATTTCCAGGGTTCTGGGTCATTTTCATTACTTTATGAAGAGCTTATTGTCTTTGATCTATAAATTTTTAGTTTTGACTCTATTTGATAAAATAAGAACCTGCTTTTGAAATTCTAGCCTAAACAGGTTCTTATTTAAAGGGGGTGTAAATAAAATAATTTATACGCGGTAAATTTCGTAAATTTATCCACATTTTAGCTATCATTCTTTATTTTTAATCAGTGCCACTCAAATATTTTATTTCTTTCTATCCAAATCCATGTTTTGCCGACTGGGATTCAATATTTTGCCGATCACTGGTTTGTTGTTTAAGTTTGATATTTTGTTGTAAAAATACAGAATATATTTTTGTATATATATGTACTATATACTGTAAACGTTTCTTAACTCTATATATGTACTATAAACATTTATATTAAAACAAAGCTTTTGTGTTCGCTGTCTCTTTTGTCTTTCATTCCTTTCGTACTAGACTTTCCCTTTTAAGGGCGTAATGGACTTTATGTATAAAATAAGAAGAAATAACGTCTTTACCGAATCGATGACCAGTATGTTTAACACTCATGTTTAACATAAGCAATTTCAGTCTCCCAAAACAAACAGAAATTTTAAGAAAAAAGTATAAGATACTCATGCAGGGGCAATGCTGTGGAATCATTTACCCAAAAGGGCAAAGGCCAGGGACATTATTAGGATAATCTAGATATAATTTTGTTTGTAATGTAATGTACAAAATGTTTCAATTTGTTGCATGTAAACGGCCCCTTGAAAATCAGTTTCCTAAGACGTGCACTGAACTGAAGGGTTTTTACTGTAAGTTTAAGTAATAATAGTAGTAATAACATGGGTATCAATAACCGTTATTCAAAGTCTATTCTCGTTCGTGATTGCATGGTCAAAACACATCGGATAATTCTTGGTATCTTGAATACGTCGCGTTACTTCAGCTGCTGACGCCATCAGCGTGCACTACACGCGTAAAAATCATCATGTTGATGCAAGTTGTTCAAAACAGCAGCGAACAATGTTGTGCTGCACCCCGTGAACAATATTGTTAACAAGTTGTTGAACCATCAACATTGTTGCAACTTGTTGACAATCATGTTAACAACTTGCAACAGTATACTGATGGTTGAACAACTTGTTAACAATATTGTTCACGGGGTGCAGCACAACATTGTTCACTACTGTTTGAACAACGCCGAACAACCTGATCAATTTTTACCCGTGTAATACTTATTTGGTCAAAAAAAGTAAAATTCCACGCTATGGTTACCAAGCCCCGGCGCGGTCCAGTTTGCTAAAAAGCGCGCGAAAATTCCATAGTTTTAAAAGCGTGAACAAAATGGCTTTGCTTTCTTTCTAGCCTTTGAATATATAATAAAACAATTATTGAATTCGGTTTTCGTGTGATATCGAGAATTATCAAGGCCTCAGTTTGTGTTATCAACCTCAGCCGTCGGCGTCGTGGATAACACAAACCTTGGCCTTGATAATTGTCGATATCATACCGTCAACCTCGTTCAATAATTGTTCAGAATATGACGATTTTTTATGAATATTCTATTTCAGAGTCAAACCAGCGCCATTATATCCCTGGTATCTTTCTCTGAACTGATTGTCGCCGACCTACTCACAGCTCTCAAATTTTATAACAACATTTTTAAAGAGTAAGTGTTTTTGTGCTAACCTTTTCTGGGTATTTTACTTTTCGTTTGTGATAAACTAAGATTTCCTTGCTTCTACAGAGTCGGTGTTGATTATTTCTCGCTTACCTATCTGGAATTGGAAAAACTGGTAAGTATAATTAGTTGCTTTATGTTCTGGTCAAACGAGAACAAGAGTTGCATGAGAGTTGAGAAGCGAGAGTTTCTATGAGAGTTTTCTCAACTCTCGTGCCCCGGTCAAACGAGAACAAGAGTTGCATGAGAGTTGATGAGAGTTGAGAAGCGAGAGTTTGCATGAGAGTTTTCTCAACTCTCATGCCCCTGTCAAACGAGAACAAGAGTTGCACGAGAGTTGATGAGAGTTGAGAAGCGAGAGTTTGCATTGACCCCGGTCAAATGAGAACAACAGACTCCGGTCAAATGAGAACAAGAGTTGCATGAGAGTTGACACGATATTACCGCACGCCTATAGCGAAAACTTTCATCAAAATTTGAACCAGCTCAGTTGATGAGAATGCATGAGAGTCCATGAGAATTTACGGTCGAACGCGTTGTCTAAGAAGATCGAGCAGTTCCGAGCTGATAGAGCTATCCAGTATAAATAAAGTTAGTTTCATTTAGCCTTTATAGGTTTCCTCCTATATAGGTTCCCCTTATTGGACCTCTAGGAAGAACCATTTAGAACCGATAGAGCTATCCAGTATAGATAAAGTTAGTTTAATTTAGATTTCCGCCTGTATCAATAAGATCAATAAGAGATGATTCTTACTGGACCTCTAGGAAGAACCATTTAGAACTGATAGAGCTATCCAGTATAAATAAAGTTAGTTTAGTTTAGGTTTCCTCCTGTAGTAACACTGGATCAATAAGAGATATCCTTACTGGACCTCTATAGGGAAAACAGTTTAGAACTGATAGAGCTATCCAGTATAAATAAAGTTAGTTTAGTTTAGGTTTCCTCCTGTAGTATCTGTAGACCAGGGGTCGGTTGTATAAAAATGTAGTTAAAGTTAACTATAGTTAGTGCGAAAGTTAACCAATCAAAATCGCGAATTTTACAGTTAACTACTATTTAACTAGAAAACGGGTAGTTAAAATGTAGTCAAAACTTTTATACAACCGGCCCCAGTAAGACTGATAAAGCTATCCAGTATCCAGAGTAAATACAGGGATCTCTTATTTCTTATTTTACAGCTAGGTTCAGACATGCGTGCATCGGTCGCAAACATTGATCCAAAAAAGTTGCAAGTTGAAGTTGGTGATGGAGATGTGGGCACGAAATTATTTTCTGCGTTCTTGGCTGCAAAAGAAATCGTTGAATATCGTCAGTATTTACCTCTAGGGTGAGTGGGAAAAGTATTTAATGTCTCTCGGATCCTGAATTTGCCTTGTTCAAATGTTCCTCAAAAGTACGTAAAAACAATGGAAAATTTAACTGTACATTACTCCATTATGTATTCAACAAGAAAGTGTACTTAACTGTATTTATGTTACATGCCTCAAATGACAGATACGCTGTTAAAAATATCTGTTTTAGCGGATATAATGTACTGTTATTTTTTTCACTAAGTGTTGTAATCATAAATTGCAGTATTTAAAATCTGTATTTAAAAAGAAATCTGTTATTTGACATATGTTGACCGTAATCTTTTACAGTTACTACACTGTAATTACAAATTACGGTGTAATAGAATTACAGCCTTTTTACGGTAAAAATACAGACCTTGGTAAAAAAAACAGCGGTCTCTGTAAAATTACAGTGCATTCTTTGGCGTCCCAGCTGCGAGTACTTTTTACTGTAAAAATGTAAAATTATGGCGTTTTTAACGGTGTAGGGAAGTATATGATCTAATGATTCGTTAAGATTCCCCCATGTGATTCTCCAATGTTCCTCGATCTAACTTTGTAGTGACAGCGAGAGAAGAGAACTGGCTTTTGACAACAGCCATGTTTGGTTTAAGAAGTTTATAGATCATTGGTTCCAGATTGCCCATCAAAAAGCCTTGGCTAGAATTACTAAAGCTGTCGAAATAGACCAGGTGGGTGCTTTGGAGTCATTATTGCCTTATTATTGCGAGTGAGTGAAGACTTTATTTAGCGAGGGTAGCACTAAATAGTTTACAAGAAACTAACAAACTTGTGCCCCTCAATTATTATAATTACGAAGTATAAAAATAGAAGTTATATAAATATGTGCTAAAATTAGTAAAATACAATATAAAATACAGTAAAACCTCGCGTATAAGAACCTAGATTTTTCAAGTTAGCCTAAACAGGTTCTTATATAAATGGTGCTTATCACGAAATTAGGCTAAACAGGTTCTTAAATAGGTTCTTATTTTCTAAACAAAAAGCGACTCATTTTCAGTTGGTGTAGAAGAAAAGCGACTCATTTTCAGTTGGTGTAGAAAAAATTTATATAAATTATGCCCATATGACGAGAGGAGTTTGTTTTCTTTTATTTATAAATTTTACTTTCGACTGTTAGAAGGATAAAAATAAAATAAGAACCTGTTTGAAATTTTAGCCTAAACAGGTTCTTATACAAAGGGGTCTAAATAAGCAATTTTAGCCTAACAGGTTCTTAAACTCTAGGTTCTTATACGCAGGGTTTTACTGTATTGTGATTATATACAGTACAAATAACTATATAGTAAGATTGGGAGTATCATCTCACCATAGGAAAAGTTCACGTATTGTTTTTTTCTTTCCAGTCAATGGTCGTTGATTCCAGTGTCAAGTATTCCACCTCAGCCGTCGATGTGACGTGCTGTTTTTATCAGGTTTGTTTAGGGGCGGACCATTAGAAAAGTGATGGGGCAAAAGCAAAAATAAAAATCGAGCAGGGGAAACAGAAAAAAAAAATTCGTGCTACCAGAAATGTTTGAAAAAAAAAATTCGTGCAGAGACTTTTCAATAGGGAAAATTATAAGTTAACAGGGCCTATCAGAGGTACAGTGTAAGGAAAATAATTTTGAACTTTTTTATATAAGTAGTGGTGTGAGAAAAAATTTTCTAAACCTAAATGTAGTAGATATTGGTGCAAAAAAGCGTTTTAATCATGTTTTAAGAGGAATTTTTCAGGGAAAATGTGTTTTAAACCTTAACTAAACTGATGTTAGTCCGGAAAAATTTTTTTGACCCTTTTTTTTCTTTGTCCTGAAAAAATTTTTAAGTCCGGAAAAAATGTTTCAACCCCCCCCCCCAAAAAAAGAAAATTGGGGGGAAAAAAAATAAAATTCTAGCAAGGGATTCTAGCAAGGGATTATAAAAAAAATCGACACAGCAAAAAATTTTGAAAAAAAATCGTGCATGTTGAAAATGGACCACCCCCCATCACTTTTCTAATGGTCCGTCCCTTAATTAATAATTAACTGTTATTAATAATTAGCTAATGTTACATAGACGATAATGAATCTCTATAGCCAAAATGATGTACTTTCCGGAAGAGTTTTTTTTTGCTGTTTCACAATTTCCTGATACATAAAAAGAGACAAAAGAAACAGGTTTTGATTTCATGATTCTATCTAATAAGTTCCAGTACTATCCGGTGAATATTTGGCAACATTTTACCGTATCGTGGATACAGGAATCTGGACTGGGTAGGTAACATAGTTCTTGAATTTTTCTAGCTTTGTCAATTTTGGAAAAGATTATGTTGGCCAGATGCAACGGGGAGTTACCTTTATGTTACCAAATTAACCGATGTAAGTTTACATGAGAATATTTAAATTTTATGTTTTCGATATTTGGATCTATTTTTACACTATCAGTCCAACTCGTGTTCGGTCTTCTCTGTCCGCTGGTCGTCTTTATCTTCCGCTTCATTGCAATGTCTACCACCTCACATCTTTTTCTGATCTCTTCATTCCATAATGTCTCTGACCAGCTCTCCTTCATCTCTTCTTATTACGTGTACATACCATCTCAGTCTTGCTTCCCTCACCTTCTCTTCAACGTTTACCAGCCCACATCTTCTTCCGACCTTTTTATTCCACAATATCTCTGACCAGCTCTCCTATCTTTGCCATCTCATATTTGCTTCCCTCACCTTCTCTGCAATGTCTATCACATCACATCTTCTGATCTCGTTATTCCATAATGTCTTTGACCAGCTTTCCTATCTTTACCACCTCAGCCTTGTTTCCCTCGCCTTCTCTACAATGTCTATCACCTCACATCTTCTTCTGAGCTCTTTATTCCATAATATCTCTGACCAGCTCTCTTCATCTCCCTTATTACATGTCCATACTATCTCATCCTTGCTTCCCTCACTTTCTCTGCAATGTCTACCACTCCACGTTTTCTTCTCATCTCTTCATTGCACAGTGTATCTGTGACCTACTTTCCTTAGTTTCTTATTATTATGTGTCCATACCATTTAAAACTTGGTTGAAAGATGATAATGGAACCAACAATCATTGTTGGTTCCATTACCATCTCTGCAATGTCTACCATTTCACATCTTCGTCTGAACTCTTCATTCCTCTCTTTTCCTCTAACGTAACACTAAGAACCTCAACATTTGCATCTCTGTCCTTCTTGTCGATCTGTCTATGTGATTACCGCATACGAATTTGTCAACTTTATTTTCAGGATATCTGTGAGGCCGCTCGCCACTATGCTGATGCTTTAGAGAAAAAATTAAAGGACAACAATTATTATGATGATAATCCTTCCTACTTTGGTGTTAGTGCGTCGGTATGTTGTTTTGATTTTATGATATTCTCTGTAAGCGGCCCTTGTCAAACGAGAATGACAGTTGGTAAGCGAGAGTTTACTTGAGAGTTTTCTCAACTCTCATGCCCCGGTCACACGAGAACAAGAGTTGCATGAGAGTTGAGAAGCGAGAGTTTGCATTAGAGTTTTCTCAACTCTCATGCCCCGGTCAGACGTGAACAATTAAGAGTTGCATGAGAGTTGATGAGAGTTCATTGGATATTACCGCGCACGTAGCCAAAACTCTCATCAACTCTCATTTGCTTTCGGGCAGTTTGTTTTAAAGTTTGTGGCTTTCAGATAATGGCCCCGGGGCTTTATTTAAACTCGCTTATACTTCATTCCATTGTAGTTATGTATAACTCTGAACAATCTGGCATACACGCAACAATGGTTGACTGAACTTGACACCCACTTGGACTGGCCCAGTATTATCAGTGGGATGAGACTCGCACATGATGAGAGAAAGGCAAAGCAATGTGAAGAATCTTTGCAACAGTTTTCTGAACATGCCCAAGATGTACTGTTGGTGAAAACGGACGAGATGATATACCATATTGGAGAAAAGGTTTGAAATACTGGATACAAATGACAAATCGCGCCGCCCCTTACCACCGAGTTAAATCTGTGGGTCGAGGGTAGGGTATTACTCCGTACAATAAAGCTCCGCATTAAACAACCAGTGAATTTTGACTTCAGGCTGAAGTGGTTCTTATATAACAGGCACTTACAAGAAATCTGGCTGAAGTGGTTCTTAACTGGTTCTTATTCCCAGTCAAAAAAACTGTTCGTAGTTTTAGAGTTTTAAACCTTTTATTGTATACCATGAAACTAGTTTTGATAAAATTTGTTTTTTTCCCTTGTACCTGCTTACTAATTCAGTTAAAAGTTAAAATGAGGTATTTTAGGAATCAGTTTTATTTGTCAGTCTGAAGTGGTTCTTGTATTTTAAGTGCTTAATTGCTCAAATTTCATGCTGGTAGTTCTTAACCCACTGGCAACTTTAGATTTGACTATACGGGTACGACTTACAAGAATAAACACTTACAAGTCCGACTTCGTGTCGGCGCCTTTGATGTCGGTGTTTCCCTGAAAACATTCACAATGGCCGACTTAGCGCAGACAGGGGGGGGGAGTGTTTCCTCAACTCTTCCACCCTTAACTGTGATCCGTTATCGGACATGGTAGGCTGGGCACCCTATAGTGAGCCTTCGACTGATCGCAATTCAGCACTTCAGTGCATGGAAAGATAATATTAGCGTCTCTACATACTTCCTTCAACGCTTTCTTGTTACTATTTTCAGATGTCTGTGGACATCAAGAGATTTGTGTCGGAGCTGGTCAACCGGGACGAAGGTGTTGATATCTCTGAGGCAAGTCCTTCAAATGGGAAATTGAGATACATAGTGGAGTCCAAGTGAACTGAGATCGATACTCACTACTGTCTGACCAAACGCTCTCCAACAATTGCACAGCACAAATAAATAGTACAGTTTTCTGAGCAGCATATCGTGGACATAGGATGAAATAGTGAAGCACAGATTCCTCACGATACCCACGCGCGCAACTTGGTGATAATTGACATTTTATCCGAAATAAGGCTATATTTAAACCGGAGAATCCAAGTCAAAGTCGAGTATGTAAAATTGAAGCGTATCTTGTTAGTGAATACTTGTATTATTTCTGTGTTCATTTTTATCTCATCTAATTTCTCGACTCGGTGGAACGACATTACGCGAACATAGCGTCTTCAAAATATTTTTTGTCGTAATTAAACAAACCAGGCGTTGTATAACTTGTATTATGACTTTAATAGAGCAAATGGTTATCATGTTTTGTTATGAATTTATAAATATATAAAAGTTTTTGTCTTTTCAGGCAATGGATCCGTTGCTGTCATATCTTGAAAAATCAATGAGGACATTTTACAGCTCTTTAGTCCGTCCTGTATTTGACAGGTGAGATTTGCTTTGAGGGGTTGCGGTATAGACGTATGTAGGCTAATACTAAAACTCATCATGATGATATAAGGTAGCCTACAATCCCTACATCATAAACTCTAGTTTCATTCTAGCTAGGTGTGGGCTACAAGTAGCTAAGGTTCCTTTCTGGAGGTCCGGTCTTGTGTCATAATTTGTATCTTCATTGTCAAGTCTTATAAGAGGAAGTTTTTTTCAATGTTGTGTATTTGTGATAAAAAGTGCAGTTCAAAATCTAAAATCGTTTTGGCGTTCCTCTCAAAATTACTTTGTTTTAGCTTTATTTTGTAGTTTACATAGTTAGCAACCCTTTTAATTGTATCTGGCGGTTGAGAAGGACAGAATAATAGTTAAATATTGTCAATTTAAATACAGTTATCATTGATGCTGTAAAATTGACGCCCTATTTTTTGCCGCAATTTGAGCAAAACTTACTGAATTTCAAACATCATCTTCTCTTTGGCGTACCATCTAAAATCTCTTTATTTTAGCATAATTTTACTGATAAAGCACTAAACATACTTTTTAAGCTTGTTTACCGCTTGACAAACGTAGCAAGAATTTTTAAAAAATCGAATATGGTCATGACCAAGTAGAAAAGTATATTCATTAGTTTTGACGCGCGTGTTACTATACGAAACATTCTCCTCTTAAATATATCTTTCATAGAACTCTTCTTTTTCTCTGGACTATGGTAGTTGACAATATTGTTGCCACTGTTGGAGGTGATAAAGGGGTAAGCTTTTTCACTCCATAGCAAATTATCAGTATTTTGAATATTGAGCCCTAACTTAGTGTGTTACTGAGATACTTCAACAGCTCGTGAATTTTCAGTATAATATTTCTTTTATTTAAACTATTCTCTCTTTATTAACAGAAACCTCCCATCTTTTATCAACGTTTGAATCAAGTTCTTGAGGTATGCATGAAAATTAGAGCGATGAACTTGAGCAACGCATCTTATAAAGCGTCCATTTTCGTTTGCATCGAATTAAATGCGATTCGGTTAAACAATTTTTTTCTTATATCAGGTCCTAATCGATTTCTTCTGTGTTGATGGCATCGGGATTCCGCTGGATAAAATGATGACAGACACTGTAAAAGTGAGAAAACGTTCCCTTCGTAGTATAGGTCGTAGTATAGATCAGTGTCTAGTGTGGGCTATTCGTTATTGCTTCAGTGATACTACAGTGGAAAACTAAACTAACTTTCTTTATACTGGATATCTCTACTAGGTTTAAACTGTTCTCTTTAGAGATCCAGTAAGAATCATCTCTTACTGATCCAATGTTACTACAGGAGGAAACCTAATTAAACTTAAACGAACTTTATTTGTACTGAATAGCTCTGTCAGTTTCTATCAGTTCTTAAATGTTCTCCCTAGATGTCCAGTAAGGATTATCTCTTATTGATCCAGTGTCACCACAGGAAAAAACCTAAACTAAACCAACTTTATTTATACTGGAGATCTCTATCATTTCTAAACTATTCTCCCTAGCTAGAGTAACTCTAACTAAGAAAGGACTCTTACTCCCTAGTAAGTGTCCTTTCTTATTGTTCCAGTGTTACTACGAGAGGAAATCTAAAATAAACTAACTTTATTTATACTGGATAGCTGTATCAGTTCTAAACTGTTCTCCCTAGATGTCCAGTAAGGATTATCTCTTATTGATCCAGTGTCACCACAGGAAAAAACCTAAACTAAACCAACTTTATTTATACTGGAGATCTCTATCATTTCTAAACTATTCTCCCTAGCTAGAGTAACTCTAACTAAGAAAGGACTCTTACTCCCTAGTAAGTGTCCTTTCTTATTGTTCCAGTGTTACTACGAGAGGAAATCTAAAATAAACTAACTTTATTTATACTGGATAGCTGTATCAGTTCTAAACTGTTCTCCCTAGATGTCCAGTAAGGATTATCTCTTATTGATCCAGTGTCACCACAGGAAAAAACCTAAACTAAACCAACTTTATTTATACTGGAGATCTCTATCATTTCTAAACTATTCTCCCTAGCTAGAGTAACTCTAACTAAGAAAGGACTCTTACTCCCTAGTAAGTGTCCTTTCTTATTGTTCCAGTGTTACTACGAGAGGAAATCTAAAATAAACTAACTTTATTTATACTGGATAGCTGTATCAGTTCTAAACTGTTCTCCCTAGATGTCCAGTAAGGATTATCTCTTATTGATCCAGTGTCACCACAGGAAAAAACCTAAACTAAACCAACTTTATTTATACTGGAGATCTCTATCATTTCTAAACTATTCTCCCTAGCTAGAATAACTCTAACTAAGAAAGGACTCTTACTCCCTAGTAAGTGTCCTTTCTTATTGTTCTAGTGTTACTACGAGAGGAAATCTAAAATAAACTAACTTTATTTATACTGGATAGCTCTATCAGTTCTAAAATCGTCTCCCCTAGAGGTCCAGTAAAAGTTATCACTTATTGATACAGTGTTACTACAGGAGGAAATCTAACCAAACGTCATTTATACTGGATAGCTCTATCAGTTCTAAACTGTTCTCTGTACAGGTCCAGTGAGAGCCATGACTTATATTGCTTCAGTGTTACTAGAGGTAGAAACTGCAGACCCTTGGAAAAAATTTGCAGACTTATTTAGTAGAGTCAAACTAGAAAGACTCTTCTCACACGTGTTTTCTACAAAGGTATTGCTTGAAGAACTTCTCCTGCGACAACTTCCCACTGATAAATTGATCGAAGAATATTACGCTGAGAAGATGAAAGAAATGGTTGGTAGAATTTAAAATAAAGTCGTCACCGATGATTTATCATGTTCATGAAATATTTTAATCTTTCGCTTAAACTTATTTGTTAGATGGGGAAAGAAGCTGAGTTTGGCGAACTTGCGTTGAGAATGTTTTATGATTTGAAGAACGAAAAACTTCATGTCGAATGTAAGCGTTGCAACTTTCTTCTTTCCTTCAACTAAAAGTAACATATGTTGTTGCTGGTTAACCCGTCCCTTTGATGAGTATAATAGTGCATTTTTTTATGCGTTGCAGCTAATGTTTTATATGTTGTTTTGTTTGTAGTGTTGAATGGGCGAAATTTACCGCCACTGGACTCAAATGGTAAGTTACTTTAAAATGATCTTGACTAGTTGACTTGACGTTCCTACAATTTACCAACAGAACCCAACCCCAGCCCAAAACCTAACCAACGTTAACTCTAAAGTAATGCGAACTCTGAGAATTTTGAACAACCTTGAATACTAAAACAAGTCCGCCATTTTGAATGTGGTTTGTTGTTTTGGGTTTTTTTTTCTGGTGGTGGTGGTGGGAGACTATGGCGGTCTATCATTAGCGCACTGGCTAGGAACATGGCAGTTAAGCTAACATCAAAGGCGCCGACATGGAGTCGTACTTCTGTATAGTCTGTCGCTACATCTATGACCGTTACCTATACACTGGAACCCACATTTAATCTAGTACTCTTGTGTAGGTTATTGTGACCCGTATGTGAAGTTGTCCATGGCGCCACGCCATCTGTTTCCCACGGCAATAGTTGAGAGAACAAATGTACAGAAGAAGACACTCTTCCCGTTATTTGATGCAAAATTCCAATTGTAAGTACCAGTGTTTCTAGAGAGATCAATTAGCCACACCTTGTCCGCCATTTTTGGGTGGCAAACGTCGCCGGATGGCAACAAGTAAAGCAGCGATTTAGTGAAGTAAATCATGGTACTGTGTTTTCACCACCCAAAACTGGCGGGCAAGGCCTGGTTGCTGGTCGCATGGTGTGAAAATGGCTAATTGATTAAGAGGCAACTTTTTTCAATGTCGCGTATTTGCGATAAAAACCTAAAATCTTTTTGGCGTTCCTCTCAATATTACTTTGTTTGTAGTTTACACAGTTATAGCAACATTTTTAAATGTATCTGGCGGTTGAGAAACACAAAATAATAGTTAAATATTGCCGTCAATTTAAATCAATTGACATTGATGCTGTAAAATTGACGCCATATTTACACAGCAACATCAGCAAAACGTACTGAACTTCAGACATTTTCTCTTTGTCGTACCATCTAAAATCTCTTCATTTTAGTATAACTTTGCAGATAAAGCACTAAACATACTTCTTAAGTTTGTTTGCCGTTTTTGAATATAGTCGTAAACAAGTGGAAAAGTATATTCGTTAGTTTTGAGCGGATTAACATCCTCTTAACAATTCTTCACTCTAATTATTTGTGATCACATTAATTTTATTTTACTTCGACTAAAATACATATAAACATCAACTTTACTAATTGGAGAAGTCTAACAACGATGTATGGTACTTATTTCATGACTAAATATAATGTTCAAACTCAAAAGCTAATAACTCAATTAGATAATTTACAGTTGGCTACTTCGTTCAATGTTCTGCAGCAGTATTACGTACTATGCAAATTTGAGATACAACATGTATGCTCGTTCTACTGTATTACAACAGCTGTAGCTCCATATCTGCTTTCATTCATCTCGGGAAGCTGTTCCCAGCAATAGCGCTCAAAACCTAAAACCTTCCACAGACTTTAATATATTCTCTCCATCATCAGCGCCGCCCATAACAACGATAGTATTTCCAAGAACAGATGCAGTACATCCTTTCCTCTTATGTTTCATTGGAGGCAACATATGACTTTCCCCAGTCTTAACGTTGTAGATAACTACAGTGTTTAATACTTTGCCGTGATTATCTGTTCCACCAATAACTAGAACATTATCGCTCCACTTTACTGTCGCCATGTGTGCCACGGGGTAAGGTAATGGTTTCAGCTCTCGACATTCTTTCCTATTGATGTCAAAGAATTCAACACTGCTAAGCTTGTGTTGATTCATTCCTAAAGATAGATAGATAGATAGATAGATAGATAGATAGATAGATAGATAGATAGATAGATAGATAGATAGATAGATAGATAGATAGATAGATAGATAGATAGATAGATAGATAGTTTATTTAGAGATAGATAGCAATTAGCGTAAGACTGCATGGACATAACTTTGGCAGCTCAATGTTCTATGTAACAATGTAAGCAATACCTGGCTTCTTGTACCTATTTACCATGTCTGCCACTTTCCTACCTGTATTCTACCTTGACTATACCTATTCCACCTGTTTCTGAAAATACCTGTTTTGTTTCCCCCAAAGATAAAGATATTGTCGTTGAATAGCTCCGTGCAGTGCCCTTCCCTTGGTTCTGGCATTTCGCCTACCAACTCAACAGCGTAAGGTGGTTGAAGATGCACTTCGTGAATGCTATCTGAGCATGCTTCTTCGTCTTCATTCCACCCTCCAGTCATGTACAAGCTATCGTTGAACAATACACTGGTGTGGCCAACCAGCCTGCCGGGCAATTTTGCTGAAAAATCTTTCCATTCTGTCGAGGGATCTGGTTTGGGATGAATATTTGTCCTAATCATATCATTCACGGCGACAGCTGAGCAATAACCCCCAGCTATAGTCACATGTTTCTTGTAAACGAACGAGGAGGCTTGGAAACGCTTGCCTGGCATCGATTCCAGAAGTGACCAAGATCTTTGGCTTGCGTTGTATATTTCTACCGAGGTTTCGCCCAAACCACCAGCAACGACAATACCGGTACCTTGCTGTTCCTTGGAACCAATTGATATATGTCTGACATCACTCGAAATCTCCTCTTGCTTCTTTTCTAAGCCCTCTATCTTCTCTAGTAATGTTACTTTTAAGTTTTCATATCCATCATTAACGTGATTTAAAGTTCTTTCGAGTTCTTTTACTTCGCTTTTTACTGTTTCAAAATTTGCTTCGGTGTTCCTCTGCAACTTCCTGATATTGATTTGCATGGTTGGCACCTTATTCATATTTAGAGTGGTCATATTGGACTGCATGTTATTCATCCCTATCTTCATATTCGCCACATTAGTCTCTATATTCGCCACATTATTCTCCATATTCGCCATATTTCTATCAACCTTTGTTTCTACGGTCGTCACATTCGTCTGCAATTTTGCCAAATCCCTCTGCATACCGGCCATCAATTTGCTCATTTCGTCACAGTTATGACATTGTAGCTTCCTATGTTCACTCTCATGGTAAATTCGATCGCGTTCATTGATGGTCATACCACAGCCTTGGTGTACACAAACGACCGGTTTAAACCCACACTCTGCAACATGGACACCAAGGTTTTGCAGCTGAATAATTTCTTGGCAACCTCTATCCTGATTATCACAATGAATAGGTAATTCTGACAAATAATCCTTGACCATTCTCGGTGCGTCGGTCAATGTGGCTACGGTTAAGTTTTCCGCACAAGTAGGGCATCTTTGAGCATTTCGACGAAGATGTTCAGTAATACAGCCTCGGCAGAAACAGTGTTCATTTCTCTGGCACATTACCGGGTTTTTCAGTACGTTCAAACATATCAAGCAATGAAAGTTCCGGTTCACTTGAGTCACAAACCTTTCTTCATCATATCCTAGATCATATGCTGCCATATTTTACGCGCTGTCTACCTGTTAGAAAAATACATGCAGTTAATCTTACGCTTCTTGCATCGTAAGCACTATACGTTATATAAGTTTTCGGTTTCCGTTAAACTTAAGCAAGTTCATTGATACATGTTGTTTCAAACAGTATATCTACGCCATATATAGACATCCATATATTAGGAAATATTGTTCTTCAAGACAGCCTATGTGGTACTAGTATCTGTAGTATAGCTTGAAATCTTTCTCTGACGCTACTAGATATTCTGTTCGGAGCGAAATATATAAATATATAACTGTATAATTATCAAACTGTGTTTATTAAAACACTAATAGGTCTTCATTCAGCCGAGTTTTGTAGCTAATTCCCACTGTGGCCAGGCATATTTTTCAAGCTTGCCCGGTGTGGATATACACTCAGAGTAACATCACAAACATCTTATTCACCTGAGTACATTACACCAACACAAAAAAAATCACAATACAATACTAGTATATACAATATAACGCAAAAAAGCCCTGGTATTTTGGAACTTATCATTCATTCTTTTGAAATATACACAAACGATGCTTGTGTGATGTTACTCTGAGTGTATATCCACACCGGGCAGGCTTGAAAAATATGCCTGGACCACGGTGGGATTCGAACCTACGACCTTTGGAATACTATAGCCCAGTAGGTTTGAATCCCACCGTGGCCAGGCATATTTTTCCAGCCTGCCCGGTGTGGATATACACTCAGAGTAACATCGCACAAACATCTTATTCACCTCAGTACATTACACCAACCGCACCAACACAGCAAATACACAAACGAATTCAAAAGGCGAGACACAAATGCCTACATACAAAGACTAATTTGAAAACAAAATTCTATTTTCTTAATAAAGTCGTGCGGTATATACGATAGCCAAAAGCAGTTCGTCGTATATTGTCATGTAACTTCAAATAAATGCAGTGTGGATCAGGGCCTTTTTTAGGATTTTCCCGTGGGGGGGGGGCATTTTTTGAAAAGGGACCTTTCTGTGAGATAACATATTAGAGGGGGATAGCAATGGCTGAAAGCCACGTGTGTGGCAAATATATCACGCATGAATGGGGGGATCTGGGGGTGTACTCCCCTAGAAAATTTTTGAAATTTGAACCCGGAAATGTCATTTCCTGCATTCTGA